AAGTATTAAAAAGAATAGGAGAACAGAGGAAGTTAATAAGGAATGGGCGAGATAGGTTAATAGAAACTGGAGTTAGGAGGGGTAGAGGGAGACCTAGATAAGATTACTGATTGCAAACAGTTAAGGATGTGGGATGTTCTAATTTTTGGGAAATGCGAAGACTATCTCAGGATAGGAAAGAGTCTGGGTGTCCAACCAGTCTTAGGACTGACGATCTTATTATGATTATACTACAGAGAAGACACCGGTTCAATTCCGGACCCATTTGAACTGATCCAAGCTTTTTTGTGATTTCCTTGGCATAAGTTGAGACAATTATATTCCACAAAAATCATTCACTCCCTTCTGTGTACATTTCTCACACCAATTACAATCTACTCGTTCCGACGATTCCTAAAAAGAGGTTGTAATCCGAAGGGACTGCCCGCCCACCGATGTTAGTAGCTAGTGGGAATAAAATACCCAAAAGTTATCTAGATGTTAGTACTTGTTAAGTATCGATGATATACTCTAGATCTTGTTCATCTTTTATTAATGTAATAAAAATGAAATGCAAGTCAGCTGAAACGTTTTAGCAAAAGAGTATATTCGACAAAATTGAACCAAAATCTCAACAAACCGTAACGGCTTAGACGAGAGAAACTACTTTACAAGTAAGGATAGTTTAAAGTTTTCTGAAAAGTAACTCGAAGCAGAAGTACATACATATATTTTGTGTTGTAACAACGTTCTAAACTTTGCTTTCAGTAGCTACCTAACAAAACTTCTATTAATATATCTAACATGGGCTCAGAACTGATTGGTATCGACAAATTGATTTCACCGTTACTGTTTAGTTACCAATCGTCTTCGATAAATATGTATGTATAAAGTAAAACTCAATTGTACGAAATAAACCTTAATCCTCAGTTATATCCTTTACTCTTAAACAAGGTATGCAGTGAAATACTAGAAGAATTAACGAAGGAATTGAATTGACATAACTTCATTAAATTTAAATTTGTTTTGTTTTTGATTTTGAAGTTTGCAGTATGAAATTCTTTGACTAAACTCAACATAACAAGTTAGTTGTAAAATCAGATAAACTTGGAATCATTGCTGCAAATTCTTCATAATTTTAGTTTCATTCATAAACATATTTCTTCGTCAAAATAATAAAGTGGATTACCTAGAAAACAAATAAATAAATTCTATATTTTAATAATACTAATCTATCCGCTTTATTTGGAAAGAAAGAAAGTCCTTTGTTGAGACAGATCATCGGGGATTTAATTTAATATTTCTCATTAAAAATATGATCTTTTTCGACTTAATGTTTTCATTTCGAGTGGATGCATTCTTTCGTATTCTTATTATCAATGTTAGAATCTACAGGAATCGACTTCTTAATCATCAAGCCAAAGAGGACAAATCAATATTGGTCACGTTTGATTGGAAATCTAGTTTATCAAGTGTCATTTCAATGATCCATTATTGGTACAGTCGAATAAAAGTGACGAAGTGTTCTGATTCGAATTAAACCATAACTGATGCGGTTACCTAAACAGAATGTCTGCGGATTGAATGTGAATTCACAACTGCAATACTCAATAGGCATGTTGCTGCGATGGTTAGGACAAAATCAAATAGCGCCGCTATTGGTCTTTGGTGTGTCCCACAGCGTCACCCTAACGTCATTTCTGAATAATGGCATTAATTAGAGCCATATGTTCGCGCTAATTTGCTGCACACTAGACTCACTACCAATAGCAAACGCTTACTTGCATCGCATTTCACGAATGTGTATATTGCATATGTGTATCTGCTGGGCTTCTAATGTGTGCGGCAGTAAGTGAGACACGGTGAACAAGTACTGTTAATTTTCAACAAAGGTAAACACACAAATCCCTAGTCACAATCCCTAGGAGCAATCCGATTCTATGTCAAGTGGTAACTAATCGATAGATACTATCGAGACCCGACAATTTAACTGTTAGCGGTTAGGTGGAAGCGTCAGGGATGAACAACGAAAATTCTTTCAAAATCACGCTCTCTCTCACACACACACACACCTACGCGTACACACACACACCTACGCGTACACACACACCTACGCGCACACACACACACACACACCTACGCGCACACACACACACACACACACCTACGCGCACACACACACACACACACACACGCGCACACACACACACACACACACCTACGCGCACACACACACACTTTTTAGTCTTTTTACGTTTGAATTCAGATTTTACACTTTTCCAATGATTTAGAATATGATAATGATGATATGATGCTTTTGGTGTTCTTTTAAGCTGGGTTTAATCACTTTCTTACGTTGCCTTATATGTGTAGCATCATTTGGCTCATGTGTTAAGGAAGATTGAATAAACTGACGAAACGAAACCATTCAACTGTTTTATATTACTATTTTTTAAAAGACTTTTAATGGAATGTTTTATAAAATATGTAATAAATGCGTCGAAGAAAGTTTGTGTGCCGTATATCAACGAAATCTCCTAAGAATTTAGAATGTTAATAGGGAGAGTGGATAAAAATCTTCTCCTCCAACACCGTCTGCAGAAGTGTTGCCCTCGAAACAGGTTTAAGTATATCCCGTAATTTTATGCGAGACGACTTGGATCTCTACTGCAAACAGTACGTAGGTGTGTATCTACTTATTATTATCATCCCCTTCCTAGACAGTCTTCTTGAAAGTCGTGTCAAGAAGCGACTTGTGCTAACAATTAACGCAAGTTTTCGCCAAATCGAGGACATTGTTTCCGTGTTCTGAATTTGTAACGCATTAAAAAATTCCGGTAGAAATATACGTATTTTGGATTTGAATTATTCGCATTTTAAATATATCTGTTAAAACAATACTGTACTGGTTGTTACTGTCTAGATTAAATTCAAATGCTGTAAAAATAATCCCACAAAAATGGAAAATATTAAAATAACTGAATAAACAAATGACGGCTCTCGCTTGCATCCGGTATCGATTACCGCCTGCGGAATTCGTACATAAAAAGTTTAGGAGTGATAATTACGAAAATACCACAAATGGCGTGGAGAGCGCCATCTGTAGTACGATGCTACATTTGAGGATTACGTATGCTCCAACAAGGTCCATTAAAAATATGGATATCTACTTGCTGAAACTAATCCCGGCGTAGCTCACCTCAACGTGATAGGCACGTTACCATAATCGAACAAAATAATTCGAAGTGGTCTGTATTCTACTGAATTAGTTTCAGCAAGTAGATATCCATATTTTTAATGGACCTTGTTGGAGCATACCTAATCCTCAAATGTAGCATCGTACTACAGATGGCGCTCACCACGCCATTTGTGGTATTTTCGAAAACGCGCTGTTAAGACAGCAGGTAAAGGTTGGTCTGTGTTCTGTCGGAGCTGCCTGCGACGCGCTGATGAGATCCAAAAAGATCGAAATCGCGATCCGCGTCTGGCAGTTTCGACAGAATACAGACCACTTCGAATTATTTTGTTCGAGTAATAATTACTCTAAATTTCCATTAATTGCAATACAAATTTAATACATTTTTGGTGTTATTAGTAATTATACGATCCTGTTGTTTATTTGTATATATTCGTTTTAATTTATCTATTAATATTTCCGAATATCCTGCGCTATTTTATTGTGTCGATGAAATAATTGCGGTCGATAAATGGTTGAGCTATGAATGGTGACAAGTACGTTAACAAAATTGTCAAAATACCCACGAGGCTTGCATGTTGAACGCGAGCGACGCGACGAGATGCGATGCAAAGAGCGTTGTGTAGCCAGCGCCGCGACGCTCTCGTCGACCAGTAGAACGCTTATCGTCGGGACGCCCAAATTAATGTGTCTCGAGAGGTTGCAATATGCGATCATGTAAAGTTCACAAGCAACGAACCGCCGAGCAATTCAAATGTCCTTAAATTAAACGGGCCAAAGTTGACTAACGGCACATCATGGACTCACCACTTGAAATTGGTTTCTATATACATGCATGTATTCTGTATGTAGGTACTTCCCAGATTGTCAAAAGCTCTTCGAAATAACAACGTAATTTTCTTTTGAAATGCAAAACGTTGTCTATTAGATATTCGTAGTAACAGACAGCAAAAGTTTGATGGAATGTTTACTTTCAAGTAGAATCATAAAAGAAGATGTGATGCACTCAGTGAATGACGAAAAAAATTATTATTCTATAGAAAATAGAGCAATGTAAATTGCAGTATCAGTTACCAAAATAAAATAAAATCATCGTAGAAATTATTTACATAAATGTTTCATTGATCCATACGTCTTTATAGTATCTTTAGAAAAAAATTTGGATGGAGTTCTGGAAAGCGACATCAGTAGATAAAGTATGACGGTTCAGGCTCAAAATTCCATGTATTTTTTGTCATTCTTTTTACCCCCTCTCCCTGCCTGCTCTAACGTCAAGGTCGTCAACTGTTGTCAGCCATTTTTGACAGCTTCATCAATTTCGCTCTACAAGATGGCTGACGATGACTGTTGAAGGCCGTGGCCTCAGAATAGGGGTGGAGGGAGGTAAAAAAGAAAAAAAAAACGAAAATAAACCTCCATAAGAAAATACATGAGATTTTGAGCCCGAACCGCCATAGTATAACTACTGATGTCAAAAATGTCTAAAGATACTATAAAGACTATTTGTTGATCAATGAAACTTTTAGGTAAATAATTACTACGATGATTCTATTCATTTTGGGAACTTTTATAGCCTAAATGATGATATCGAATAGAATTTTTAGCGTTTCCAACTAGGAGCGGTAATAATGCATCAAATTTGAATGTCTTTATACAGCAAAATGAATATATATGCTAAAATAAGTCACTGATTAACCAAATTTCCTTTGTCTTTACAAATGTTAATTAGTAACTATATATGTCAGATTTAATACCTGTCAGAATTATTAATCACGAAACATGAAAGTCAGAAATTTTCTTTTATTAGTAAAGTCGCTATAGATACCTGTTTCATTAGTAGAAGTTCAAAGTCACTTGATTTAAACTAATTAACAAGTGTTTTCGACTCTCTCTCAGCCCCAGGAATAACATGCCTTCTTAACACGTGAATTGGCAAACGGCTTTCGTAGATCCTGCAACGTGACACAGTTAATTAATGTTTGTTTTGAATTTGACCCCAACTCTATATAGCAATTATTATTATCAAACGGTAATAATACACACGTAACAGAACGTCGACATCAAATACGCGACATTAATATAGATAGTTAGTGATAGTTTTAGAATCATCATTCGATTATAATATACTAGATTAATATACGTGTTTTGTATGTCTAGCAACGTCTGCACTGATTTGAGTCTACGTCTACGACATGGTACAAAGAGATCACGAAATGGATACAGTAAAGACCAGCTAAAACGGCATCTGTATGACAACTCCTTAAATAAAATCACTCTTTGCCGTTTAAAAATATTTTGAGCTTTAATCGGGTCCTTACCGCAATAATAAAGACATTTATCGGCTTAAACCTGTAGTTTTATATTATATATGTGGAAATTAATTTAATTTTTATCAACTACAAATTACCACAAACTAATGAGGAAAACTGTTGCAGTTGTCACACCCAATTCAATCACAAGGTCGTGAGTCCTAAGACTGGTTGGACACGCACTTCCACTCTTTCCTATCATGAGGTAAACTTCGCATTTCCCTAAAACTAGAAAAAAACTTTTGCGTGTTTGATTCCCACCAGCCAGTAATGCTGGTGGGCGGGCAGTACATTCGGACTACGCCGGAAGGTAGGGCGGAAGGCCCTCTTCAGCCTGCTTTCAGGAATCGTGGGAATGGGTAGGTAGTGGTTCGGGTGAGAATGTTGAGACGGACGAAATGAAGACAGAAGAGAATGAAAGATTATCTGTGGAATATTACTGCCCCAGCATTTGCTTAGGTGATCCAAGGAAACCACAGAAAAACTTGGACCAACGCAGACGGACCCGGAATCGAACCGGCGTCCTCCCGAATGCTAAGCAGTGGTCTAAACCTCTAGGCCATGCCGCTCGGTCTAAAACTAGAGCAACCCACATCCTTAACTATTTTCGAACAGTAATCTTATCTAGGTCTATCTCTACCCCTATACCAGACTAGACCTTTACGCCTGAGAAGGTGTCCTACCAACCTATCTCGCCTATTTATTATTGACTTCCATAGAGTCCTATGTTCTCCCATGATTTCTAATATCTCTTCGTTTCTAACGTTCTCTATCCACGGTATCCTCATCATTCGCCTGTAACACCACATTTCGAACTCTTCTAACCTCCATTTTCAGCAGCGTCCACCGCCCATGTTTCGCACCCGTACAGCGCCGTGCTCCAAAGTTACACCTTTAACAATCCTTTTCGAATTTCTGAATTAATTGTTCGCTAGTATAGAAGGCACTTCTTTTTATTGAAGGCGACGCGACCCTGCTCTATATTCTGCTTTATCTCCCTGTTACTCCCTCCGACCTTTAGATTAATATTAAATATTAATCACTATTAGAAGGTTTCTTAAAGTTTTATATTGCTCTTTTGTTATTTTGCAGTATTATTTATCTGAAGGTATTAATCCATATTCGTTCGCCAAAATAATGGATGGTACGTGTTTGTAAACGCAATTAGTGTTGTTCGTCAGCTGCATTTATCTATGACAAGCTAATTATTTATCGAAAGCTTCCTGTGGTATTTGCCGGCCGAGACGAAGAAGCACCTGCTAATTCACACTTTTCGCCGTAAAAACTTTTACGGGACGAGTAACTCAAAACACTTGTCTGTCGATAGCAATCTGTTTGTTTTCTTTTTTCCCTCGCGGCGCTGTTATCGATTTCGTCTAATAATCGAGAGAGCCGAAGGAAATCCTACACCGACTGCATCTGCAGGGTTTACGGGAATTGTTTTAGGGTAAACAGCTTCTCCCGTTTCGTCTAAAAGTAGTTTTTGCTCGCGTCCTCCTCCTCCTTCTCCTTCTTCTTCTTCTTTTACATCTACTTCTTCCGAAGACTTTGATTAATCAGCGAGCGCGGCGTCTGTGGCAGATCGCTATCTCTCAGATTTCACTCGGCTGCATCAGCCTATCCCCTATAACGGATTTCCAAGTGTTGTTGCTGAAATAAACACCGAGTAATCGAGACACAAGTCAGAATTCCGAAAGAGGGAAGTAAAGTGCTGACTACCGGCCTTTATGGTGTTTTATTGAAGGCGCTTTTGTATCGACGAACTGACGATGAGTGGAATATATATTGTAAATAACCTTACAGATCGAAAACTTCAGCAGATACGGCTTTTAAGGATTTTATGCAGCGAGATAGAAGCGAAGATTAATTGAAAAGGGTCATTATTAAAATTGTATTATTGTAAAGGACGTCTGGCAAATTTGTAATATGTACCTATTAGCTTATTATTTAATTGGTAGAGTTTAAAATGTTCTTAGATTCTTTTTTTGAAGGATCTTTCTGTTTGTTCCATGTTGACTTCCATAATTCTGTTAACCTTCCAATAAACATTGGCGAGAATAACTAAACAATTTGATAAACTACCTCATCAAGTACCCAATCTAGGGCTTATTAATTCTAATTACGTATCGTTAAACATTAGCAAAAATAACTACGTTTTAGAAAATACTACAAATGACGCAGTGAACGCCATCTGTAGCACGATGCTACATTTTAGGATTACGTATGCTCCAACAAGGTCCACTTGTGTGGATATCTACTTGCTGAAAACGAATCCCGGCGTAGCCAACCTCAACGTAATAGGCACGTTAGCTTAATCGAATAGAATAATTCGAAGTGGTCTGTATTCTGTCGAAACTGCCACACGCGGATCGCGATTTCGATTTTTTTGGATCTCATCAGCGCGTCGAAGGCAGCTCCGACAGAACACAGACCAACTTTTACCTGCTGTGTTAACAGTGCGTTTTAGAAAATACTACAAATGTCGCAGTAAACGCCATCTGTAGCAAAATGTAGCATCGTGCTATAGATGGCGTTTACTGTGCCATTTGTAGTATTTTCTAAAACGCACTGTTAAGACAACAGGTAAAAGTTGGTCTGTGTTCTGTCGGAGCTGCCTGCGACGCGCTGATGAGATCCAAAAAGATCGAAATCGCGATCCGCGTCTGGCAGTTTCGACAGAATACAGACCACTTCGAATTATTTAAAAAATAACTACAATTTTAATATTAGGTAGAACGTTTTTCTACAAGCCAAGTGATTGCTGTCTATGTATGGTATGTTGCTTCATCTAGTGTTTTGGATATTACATTTTGAATCCGTGAACAACATGCGTTTAAGTCGAACGGAGAATTATAATAATTAGTTTGGTTGTCATGTGTGGGTTCCAAAACTCGTGTTCGTAAATCGATAGTGCGAGAGGTCGGTATACGCCGAACAAATAGCGCCATGTGCATCGACACTTTCAACCCCAATTTACATATTGCTAATTCATAATGAAAGTTCCTGATCATGTTTCTGTATGGTTCGATTGCGTAGACATGTATTTCAAATCAAAATTTAAACATCAACACACGCAGCTGATCTCTGATACAAAAATACAATAAAACCATTCATTTTGGTCATCTGAATTTTAAAATGGTTATTCTTCTCAGTGGTCAACTTTTGTAACAATACTGGAACCAGGGTTTCTGCATTCTCAGTACCTTCTGAATAGATAACATGGAAATTCAACTTTTACACCCTTGATTTCAGACTTGCAAGTGATAGTTTTTCACGAACTGTAACGTTTGCTTTCGTAAAAATGAATTTCATTGGCCGCTATTAAGAGGCTTTAATTTATTTATTAGCTAATAAGTAATCGATAGAAAGGATTATCCTTAGCAAACAATCTTTGACAACTAAATAGAATTACAATTTAGAAAATCAACCAAAGGAAATATAATTCCAAACAGTTTTTCTTCTTCCGTAGTTACATATAGTTTTAACAATAATAATCTTCAATTGACGAATTTTTTATAGCTTATTTTGTGTCTTCTTTATTAATAACACTCATGATAATGAACGACATCATTGTACGTATTTAGAAATCATTCCTCAACTGTTCTTAACATACAAAGGCTTATTAGGTTCTTCCTCTTCAAGTTTTCCTAGAGTTTTTTTGCATCAGCCTCGTCGAAAAGGAGTTGAGCGATAAAGATGTTTCTTTATAACCATATTTGGTACTCACCCCATTCTGTTCCTGACAGTTACAAATTATCCGCTTGAAAACTGTTAATAAGAGTTTTAAACTACCGCTATAACGGCTCTAAGTTACAATCAGAACGTATCGAACCTACTGCAATTAACCTAATTCAACCTGGACTTTTATCGAATAACACTAGCTGGTACTGGATGATTATGATTTTCATAAAAATTACATTTATCTAGGACTTTTTTTTTACATTACAGCGTGCGTGGCGACACGGGCTGTAAAATCGGAAATAGAAATGAGAAATAAATAACCTAAACGTTCAAGATTTTCCCATATATCAAAAGGTTAATATTGATGTATACGCATTATATAGAAGTAGTTTTTATACCTGAGTATCATTGCGAAAAATTTTCTTATTTTATTGGTCATGGAAGAAGCCGCGGTAAGCTTCTCATGCAAGCGTTCTTGGAAAAATATCAAACACGTACATCAAAACCACTCCAATTTAACTTTCGTCGTAAATCCGGAATTTTTTTTAAATTTCCAATTTAAAATATCGCTTGCTTATACGTTAGAGGTGCCTATTTGCGACACACAAATACTGTTCACTTTCGTATAATGTCTCATTATTGTTTTCTTATCCCGCTGATGTTAATAATAACAATTTAAGAATAAAGTCGAGTGTGTTAACAAATCTGAAAAGGGAAAGCAAGAGAATACTACAAACCTGATAAAAAAAAATTGAAATTAAGTTGTGTGACAGCTGCCTTGATGGAAAGAAGAAAAGTTGAAAATATCGGGGTTTTCGGGCGCGTTCATTGTTGTTTCACTTTGAGCTATACTCTTAGCTCTAACCGTTTTACAAAGAAAATATTTGGGAAAGGGCTTTTAGAAAACCAATATGGGGAAATCGAATTTCCTTTGAAGGTTCCTGGCAAAATAGCGTATCAGG